TTTCAGAAAATAAAATCTGACTACATGTGCCATTTATTTTAAGAAATTTTAAATAAAGTCAGGCAACCCCTTGCTGCCTTCCTTCTTTCTTGCCAAAATGGTATATGTACTTTATGACATTTAATGTTTATCAGATTCTTCTGAGAGTGTGAGTCATGTTGACTCATAGTCAGTAATCCTTAGCAACACTAAATGTCTGCTTTGTCTTAGCTTGGTAATTCACTAATAAAATACATGGCGTTGAATTTAAAACTACGACATGTAATTGGTTGTGTTTCTGTTCGGACATGCCTATGTGTAGCTTTGTAGAATAGGAAAACTAACCTGATCCACAGTTTTCATTTCAGTTGTTTGGGACAGAATTTCTGAGAATTGCGTGGCCGTGGACAGAGCTGTTGGAGTGAATCAGATACACACTCAGGTGGAAAGGATAAGTAGGCAACATTTGTTTTGAGGGCGTGCCTCCCCAGTGTGCGCACACGTCCTACTTGTAAAGGAAAGAGGTTTTATGGGTTGATAAGGGACGGCATGTTTGGACCTATTCTGGACAGTAGAGAGATGTCTGGGAGAAGACCTCCCAGCGGAGAGCATTGGGAGCTCTCCCTAGGGCACATCAAAGAGACACGTGAGGTTAGTGAGGTGCAGTGGTCCCTGTGTGGTTTGCTTGGAGAGACAAGACGGGCAAGCCTAGACTTTGTTTGATGTGTGCTTCCCCGAAGGCAGTTCTAGTGAAGGCTTAGATAGCACGAGTGACTGTCAGCTCTGCTTCCCAATCCTCAGAGCTGGCCTCGGGCAGGTAGACTCCTCTCCAGTGCATGCCTTGGGCTGCAGCCACAACACACCTGCGGTTAGGAAGGCCCAGAACTGTGCCCTGTCATCCGCCCTCACTGACTTGCTTGCTGGTCTGGGTGGCAGGTGGGTGGGTCTGTTGACCATAAGCATGTGGACTCAGACATGCCCCAGTAGAGAACTGCTTCCCCTCATCGGCTGCTGCTCTTGAACCTGTGGCCTAGAAAATGACACTGAGCGAGCAAATAGGTGTGACTCAACCCTGGACAGCGCTGGAACGGAGTGGGAAAAGAGTCTCACGCTGCTCCCATGCCACATGAGGATCCCATGCTGCCACGCTCACCACCTACAGATCTTAGCCACCGCCTGAGAGAGTCCATCTCCGTAAAAGCAGCTTTCGCCCCCTCTCCTTTCTCAGGTGCCTGTCTCCCTTTGTCCTGGGCTTTCTCGTTCAGGGCAACGAGCGTCGATGGCTACTGTCACTTTCACGTTGGGTCCCGCCTCCGCCATCACCTCGCTCTCATTAAAGTCTGCTTCACTCTAGCGCCGGTCACCTGTCTCTCTCCAGTGTCTCTCAGTGCCACACCGCGGAGAATGGTCACAGTTACTGCCGTGGATGCGCTTCGGCATTGAGTAACACATGACGTGTCTCATGAACAGCCTGGCTGCTGAGATTGCATAATTACAGCTTTGTCTGACTCCAGGGAAGCCATGAGCAGGCCAGCTACATCCAGTTAGAGACGTCTCCGGTTCTGTAAGCTTCACAGTATTTCCATCTAAGTGAAGCCCTCTTCCAGCAATTACATTATTCTTTGTTTCCCTGGCATTTGCCCCGGAGTAGGAAGAAACAAAAGGAAACGGAAGGGATGGCTGGTTTGTGGCTCACTCTTAACCAGGTCCCTGTTGGTGTGTTAGGATGTGCAGGTTCTGCACAGTGTTAGAAACAGCCCTGCTCAGCATTGTTGGGTAGATTCATAGAACAGCCTGATGCTGGCATGCTGACAGACAGCTAGAGTTTTATAATGCAAAGCAGGGATTATCTGTGCCCTCTGGACTTGGTGTGCTGGGGTGGAGGTGGGGGACATATTTCAGCTAGTTATTGTATTAACTTCTTGGAACAGTTTCTTAATTAACGTGCCAGGTGACAGGTCTCCCAGAGGCCTTGAGGTCTGCCCACTGGGCGTCTCAATGTGCATATTGCCTTGGAAGTCAGTGTTCATGTATTTGATGTAGGTTCATTCAATTACTGAAAGAAAGGGCGGAGTCTAATAAATACTTGTTCATGGGATGACATATTGAAGAAGTTTCAATATTCCCAGCCTTCCCAGGCCATGTTTCGTCAGGGGAGAGCGATTAGATATATAGGTAATGAAAATAATCTCCAACTGTGAGCGCCGTTTAGGAGCGTCTCCGCACTTGGGTTCTTTGTAGGACTCTGGTTTGTAACATGAGTTCTAATTGGTCTTAATAATAAAAGCCCGGAGTCAGATATTAGGGGGTGAAGACTTAAAGACCAGAGGATCAGAGCAGCCAGCCACTAAAGCTCTTACCTCTGCCAAATTCTCAGACTGAAGAGAGAGCGAGGTCCTGTCTCCTCCCGCCTTACATCTCTCTCCCTGCCCTGCCACCTCACTTCCTGTCTGTCTGTACAGACCCCCAGACCTCTATGGTTGACTAGAGGCTAGCTCCGCCCTCCGATCTTAAGATAAGCTTCATTTATTAGAGTGTAAACAAGATACCACTACACTGGTTCCTTCCGGACATTTCTCTACAGTCTCTTTGTCGCCTCCAGGCGGTTTTAGCGGCTTCTCTGTGTGCATGGACTAGTGGAGCCTTGACTTTGGAGTGGCTGAACTTGGGCTGGTGGTCCACATTCGGTGGGCGACTTGTTCATTGTCCCAGCACTTCAAACTCCCCGTGAGGACGGGAAAAGATAGTTTCCATGTAAAACCTAGTGTGCGTCTGACCCTGGGGAAGCGTTTCCTTTTTCTTACCTGTTTCTTCTATTTGAGGAATATAGAAAGAGCCTCCCAGGACCGGGGGCCACTAAGACCGTGAGTCAGTTTCCCAGTGACCTACTTTCTGTTCTCAGGGGCTGGGTGGGAGCTGAACTGACGGCCTCAGGCTGCCTGAAATCCCTGTGAAGGAGTTGGAGTCTTTCTTGCTATAAAGCTGTTTTGTTCAAGGGGCTAGCATCTGTGTTTTGCCATTACAGAGCCTGAGTTGGAAGTCTGGTTCTCCTGCTTGGTACCACTGTTACTTTGAACAAGTTATTTCCGCTTTCTCCTGTGTAAAGGCAAGGGAAAACTGCCCGTCTCTTTGATGGGTCTGGTCATATGGGCCTGTAATATCAGCTATGCTGGAGGCCAAGGCAGGAAGAGCCCTAGTTTGAGGCCCATTTGAGCTACAGAGTGAACTCAAGACCAGTCAGAGGATTTTAGAAGGGCCGGGGATGTAGCACCATGATGAAATTCTTGCCCTGGGTTTAATTCCCAGTATTGGAAGAAGACGGAACTGCCAACCACCTGTCTCCGCGTTGCTGCATGGTGAGATACAAGTACAACACGCTGGTGTAAACCCAGGCATTGGTTAATTGCCGCAGCCGTTCCTACCACTGTGCGTGTGCTCTGTCCCCGCGGCCGTTCCTGCCACTGTGCGTGTGCTCTGTCCCCACCGCCTTTGCTCCCAGCGTTGTCACCTGCGCCAGCCTCTCCTGGAGCCGTCTGCAGGGATGGGATGGGAGCCCCTTCTAGGAACCTTGACATCTTTGTGTGGCTCTGCCTTCTGCCACCACCTGGTGTGGGCATTTCCATCTGGTTTTCTAGTGGAAAAAAGATCACAGTGAAAATAGAGTAGACAAGTGAGTATATGTGCCATACATTTTCTTTATTTTAATCACTGGACTTTCAGGTAGGAGAGTATAGAAGAGAGATTGATTCTGCAGTGTTTTGTTGGGTCTCAGGAACACTCCACACCATTCTTGTCCATGGAGAGATGAGACAATGGGGATGAGAAAGGCGTGGTTGTTTATGGTGCCCAAGTATGAAGTATAGGTGTTAAAGTAAGTTAAACAAGTAGTTTCTTCTAGTTGCTACAATTTCAGAACAGATGGGACTTGAGCTCAGCTCTTGAAGGATGTGCAGAGTAAATCTGAGGAGAATCTTAAGAAGGGCTTTGTGAAAGTAAGAGTGCATGTGTGAGTGTATGTGCGTGAGTGTGTGTGTGTGTGTGTGTGTGTGTGTGTTCGAGTGTGGGTGTGGGGGTGTGGGCATGTGTTGAGATGAGGTAAATGTGCACTAGGCTGACCTTGAACTCCTACCTGTGTCCTCAGCTCCTGAGTACCACCATGCCTGGCTAAGTGGGGCAAGTTTTAAAAGGCGTATTTTATCTTCAGTTATGTGTATGTGGGGTTGGGTGTGGTGGGGAGAGGGAGAGCTTGTTTGCATGTGAGCACAAGTGCCCCAGGAAGCCAGAAGAGGTTATGGATGAAGCTGGAGTTCCCGACAGTGTGAGAGCTGGGAACTCAGGATCACTGCAAGAGCTGTGTGTACCCTGAGTGTCTGTCTGGGCCATCTCTGTAGCCCCTAGGTGGTGGAAATGCATGTTGTTGAGTCCAGTGACGATCCAGCTCCTCTAGGTGACGGGTCTCCTCTTCCTTCTCTGGTCGACTCCCAGCCATGTTGTAGTAGCAACTATCAAAGCCCAAGGAAGGAAGGAAGTGTGACCTACAGTGGCCTCAGCTGCGTCTCCAGGGCCCAGAGAATGTCTGGAGGAGCTGACAACCACGGACGAAGGACAGTGCAGCCCGAGGGGCGGGGCTGGGGGATATTTTAGAAGGCTGAGGACAGTGATCCTGAGACCTGAGAATTATGACGTAGGTAGAGTGGTCTTCCCTTGATGTGTGGCAGAAGGGTAGCAGAGAGGCTAGAGCTCAGTGTTCCTGCCGGCTGGGGAAGACAGAGTTCTGTCTTCTTCTACAAGAGGCCAGAGGCCAGGAAACCCGAGCAAGAGGTTCCATGAGAAAGGCAAATACCCCGCACCCCAATCACTCCTGGGGGGACACACAGATAGTCACGTTGATTGTTGACGACTTTGATGAAGAATGTAGGCCTTTTACAAATTAGCCCTTTGGATGACCGTGTTGTTTGGGTTTTTCCAGATGTGGCATTTTAACTGCAAAATAGTAATCACGACCTCTTTCTCTCTTTCAGCCGAAGTGAGTAGTGAATACAGTATGGACAGGGCCATGGTTGAGTTTGCTAAAATGGATCGAGAACTAAGCCACTACGTCCAGGCTGTCCAGGCTGCCATAAATCACGTGAGTCTGTTCCCTTCCCCGAGTATTTGCCCACAGCTCTCTGATCTAGAGATGGAAACAAAATCAAAACTCGTTTCTGTCTGTCCTTAATGTCTCCTTGTCCTTACTGTGGAGCAGGAATCTGATATTTTCCAGCCAGGTACCTAGGCTAATTAGCGCGGGAAATGCATGTTAGATTGTCTTTCATTTTTGTCTGAAAAATTTTAGCTTACGCTCCTTCAAATGCGAGCAGATCTTCATTAAAATGTGGAAAGTGTGTGCGGCTTGTTTCTGTTGTCAGATTTGCTTAGGCATGAAACTTAGACCAGGCTTAGTTACTTATCCTCTACCTTTAATGTGCATCTCTTGCAAAATTTGTAGGATCAGATAACATGGAAGTGTTTTGAGAAAGTTTAAAAAAAAAAAAAGGTTGGCATTTCGGTTGTTCCAGAGGCCAAGCTTATCTTTCTGGCTCCAGCTGTCCCAGGAACAACACACACAGCAGCTGAGGTGGGAAGGTGGCAACATCCTCTTTAGCAGTGCTGTGTTGAGTAAGAAGTGAGCAACGCGATTGCAGTAACGCTCCTGAGAAACCCTTTGTCTCTGAGCCACGGAAACTCCCTGTCCAAGTGATTTCGGATACCTGTGTAATAGGGCGGCTTGCACTTCTGGTTTCTTTATTTGCCTTTTCTTCTTATGGCCATGGGAAAATTCCAAAGAGCAAGTATTTAACAAGACCAGCTGCTATTCAAGTGAAGATAAAGTTTTATCTGTTGTCTAATACTTAAGTCACTGAAATGAGCATTAAACACAGATTTTCCTGTTCTTTGTATGGCTAGTCTTTGGTGTAATATAACTGCGATTAAGACTAGTTACTTATGATTAAATAACTCATTCCGATTATAAAAGTCCAATGCTTTTGGCTATTGTGGCTTAGGTCTAGTCCTCCGAATAAGTTTTTTGTTTCTGCTTTTATTTACTTATTTTTTTGTTTTGTTTTTTTGAGGCAGGATTTCTCTTTGTAACTCTGACTGTCCTGGAACTCAGGCTGTAAGCCAGACTGACCTCAAACTCACGGAGATCCTCCTGCCTCTGCCTCCCAAGTGTTGGCTACCACCACTGACCAAAGATCTGTTTATTTATTAATTTATTTGTTATCTTACATATTTCCCTGCAGGCCAGAAGAGGGCATCAGATCCCATTTTAGATGGCTGTGAGCCGCCGTGTGGTTGCAGGAAACTGAACTCAGGACCTCTGTAAGAGCAGGCAGAGCTCTTAGCCACTGAGCCGTCTCTAGCTTTCGGAATAACTTTTGTCAGGAAAATATGAAAATACACTTTGGTGGCATAATATTTGAAAATAGGTAATGAAGCAGTAGGCCAGAAAGCACTAGAACAGGGCATTCATTCATTCATTCATTCATTCATTCATTATTTTGCCTCCTCCTCCTTCTCTTCTCCTTTACTTTGCCCTTGAGATAGGGCCTCCCTCGGTCAGTGTCACTGCCTCAGTCCTCAACTCGGGTTACAGGCGTTAGCTAATACACTCAGCTAGACAAAAGGTCTTTAAATGCTGGTTGAGTTCTAGAAACAGCCAGATAGCTCCTACTCCTAACCCTTCCCCTCCCCTCCTCTCCTCTCTCCCCTCTCCTTTCCTCCCCTCCCCTCCCCTCTTTTCTTTCTTTCTTTCTTCCTTCCTTCCTTCCTTCCTTCCTTCCTTCCTTCCTTCCTTTCTTTCTTTCTTTCTTTCTTTTTTTCTTTTCTTTCCCATATATCTGGAGCAGGCCTGGAACACCAGGGTTGTTTTTTTTGTTTTCATGATTCTGTTACTAATATGTATCCACAGTTGAAAACTACCGATATGAACTCAGTTGACTTTAAAGAATATATGTTTGCTACTAAAGATCAGAGTGAGGCCTGTTATAAGGTTCAGTCTTGCTTTGACCTGTATTTTCGAGCACATACGTGTGTGTGTGTGTGTGTGTGTGTGTGTGTGTTTTGGTTTTCTAGACAGGGTTTCTCTATGTAACATCTCTTGGATGTCTTAGAACTTGCTGGCCTTGAACACACAAAGATTTGCCTGACTCTGCCTTCCTAGTAACTGGGATTAAAGGCATATGCCACCACCATCCGGCGATCTGTATTTTTTATGGTGTTATTTGATAACTACCTTTAGCTTATGTGTATGCAAACAATGTATATATGGCCTATAGTACTGACCACACACACACACATAAAAAAAGCAACAGGATTTTGGAGTCAGAGAATTTAGATTTGTTTTCTTCCTAAACATTAAGATTCACATGTACTTGATGTACTGTTAAAGAAAAATACAGCTCTTCAAATTCTCTCAACCCCTTCAAGTTCTCTTTGTTGTTGTTTTGAGACAGAGTCTCATTATCTGTCACTGGCTGGCCTGGAACTCAGTGCCTCTGCCTCTGGAGTGCTGGGAATAAAGGCATGTGCCACCACACCTGGCCTCAGGTACTCTTAAGGAAGCAGCTATCCACGACACCCTGTAGCACACACGCTGTCATCTGGATGCAGGGCTCGCCCCAGTCCCCGCACACTGTGAGTTTTCTTGTGCCTTTGGCCATCATTACTCACTGTACCCGGAGCAAATGGATTCAGGCACTCTGATGCTTGTGACAAGGTTCCAGGCTTTTGTGGGGAGAAAACTGTTTTTGTTTTTGCCTTTTCTGGTGCCAGATTACATTGTGCATGTAAGTGTCACACAAGACCCAAGTAGTCCCAACCTGCAGAGGCTCTGACATGCAATCAGATACTCTGGGCACGACTGTGATTTTGAGGCAGCTGTTGTGGTACAACTTTCCATACGTAAAGGTCTGGGATTGGTGTCTTGTTGCTTGTGGGGAGGGGCCAGGGCAGCCCAGTGTTTTAGACATAGCAGCAGTGGGGAGGGGGAAGAGGTCTCCCCCTTCCTCAGTTAGCACCCTTGAAAAGAAAGTTACTCTTGGATCCTTGTGTTCCTCATTCCACCATGAAATCATTGATCTGCCATTTTCACAGGGTTGCCATGTCAACCAAATGAGATGGTGTGTATCAGCACAGCTGGGCATCCATAGCACCGTATGGGGCTATCCGATACCATATTGCTGCAAATCCAGGTTTCTAAACAACTCCTTGGAAAGATGGCGTATACACTTTCTAAAAACATAAGTACGTTGTTTTATTCACTGCAGCTTTGGGTACTTTTCATGATCTTGGCCTACATTAAAAAAGATGCAAGACAAACTTGTTAGGCCAACATGGTAAGTGTTTGTGGTCTCTAAAATGAAGTTGTAAGTCAGGTTATTAAGAAATGCAGTAGGTGATGGGAAACCTTGGGTCCATCTAACTTTCTTCTGTCATGCGTGTGTTCCAGATGTGATCCATGGTCTTTCTGTGTATGGACTTTTAAAAGACATTACTTGATTCATTGAAGTACTTATCATCTGAACAGACAGCCTTCTCTTCTACTCTGCCCTTGAATTTGGAGCATATGCATCTTCTTAAATGTTTGGCAAGTTCACTGTGGAACCTTAGCTGTCTAGGTTAATTTACCAGTAATTTCCTGGGGAAGTCCCGTTAGCAGTTAGTAGACGCTCTCAGATTGCCTCCCTCTGTCCTTGGAGAAAATGGAACTACTGTATCCCTAAGTCTGAGGTTTGATTAAGAATCAGTATTCAGTTCATTGCTCTAAAACCTAAAGGGAAAAAAGAACCTTGTTTTAGCAAGTTTGTTTGTAGAGGGAATATTATGTAGTGAGTGCTACAAAAATGACCCCTTTTAAACATTTACAAAAACTTTCAGGATGAGTGGGTTTCACGTCTGTGATCTATTTGGATGGAGACTTTCCAGCCATGAGAGCACACGTGTTATATACATGTTGTGGAAGGTATGAGGTGGTACACTGATACCGATACCTAAGTGGTGGAGGTACTTCCTTTGTTACAGTTAACCGCCCTGGAAAATCTGCCTGTCTCCCGCCCCGCGTGGAGACAGTGATGTTCTTAGCATTAGCTCTCAGTGGCCCTGCCATCCCTCCCTTGCTTTCTGAGGTAGTACACATTTGGCTGATCCCCCCCCCCAACGTCCCCTGAATGAACATGCACTACACACCTGTGCACTGAGCACTTGACGGTGCAGGACATGGAAAGCCATGGAGCAAGAAGCCTGTGACCTGTGGCTGTTGTGGAATATCCCTTTACACTGTGTGAAAATATGTCACTGTGACTGTGTAATTGAAATGGCCAACAGCGGGGCAGGATTTTCAGGGCAGAGAGGATGCTGGGAAGAAGGAGGAGACGCCAGGAGCTGCAAAGCAAGTAGGATGGGCAGGAAGGAAATGAGTAGAAATGGGTTAGTTTAAGTTATAAGGGCTAGTTAGAAACAAGCCTAAGCTATCGGCTGAGCTTTCATAATTTTAAAAAAAAATCACATGACCTCTACCTGTGTGTCCGGAAGTCTAGAGCAGAATGCAAACATTTAACAGAGGAGCAATAGTTGTTATTTAATTGCTATCACTGTGTGCACTACAAAGGGGAAATAAGGCATTGTGGGCAATTTAATGACTCCTCACATCTTTGGTGGTTGGTTAGAAGCCTTCTTCCTGAAGAAGGAATGTTTCTGATAAGAGTCAAATGACTCAATATGGAGAGTGAAAGAAAGGTCGTTAACTTCTGAATGTGCCTTTTGTCAGAAGTAGGAGTACCTTAGTTGTGATGGTCTTTAGTTTTTCGCTTAATTGAGACAGCTTCATGTAGACCCAGGCATTTTGACTCTCAGCTACCAACATGTACCGCTGTGCCCAGATTTATGGGGTGGGGATCGAACTCAGGACTTGTTCGTGCATGCTAGGCAAGCACTCTGCTAATCAAGCTACATACCCCGCCCACATTTCTGATAGTCTTTATTTTGTATTCATCTTTTTTAAAGATGCAAGTGTTTTTTATTTGTGTGTTTATTGTGCATGCCTGTGTGAGTTTATGTGTTCCACATGTATGCAGGTGCCCCTGTAAGCCAAACGAGGACAGCACATCCCATGGAATGGCCCAATGTGGGCTCTCTGCAAGAACATTAAGTACTGTTAACCATCTTTAACCATCCATCACTGGCCATCTCTTCAGTTCCTTCTGGTGGACTTAATGTCAAAGACTAGAGTGCCTTGATCACTCCAAATTCTTGATTTCAGAAAAGCAGACGAAAATGCCTACCCGCATAGGTAAGAGCCTCAGGTACAGCGGTGGCCTCACCTGCAGGGGGTGGGCAGTGACTGAGCTGCTGGCAGAGTTTTGAGTGTGAGCCCATGGAGGCGCTGTGCCCGGTGATGTGCGGCACTAGCAGAGTTTTGAGTGTGACCTCGTTGGGGCGTGGGCCTGGTGATGTAGAGCACAACACTAGCAGAGTTAAGAGCACTTTCGCTACCGATGATTCTGGTTTTCCAGTAGAGGTCACTCCTGAGGTTAGACTAAGTGCAGACCCCCGGCGGTAGCCGTTGCTTCGCGTTGGCGTTGTTAGTGTCTGCTGCACCTTCACCTATGATTTGGCCAGTGGCCTTTAGGTTAGTGACAGCAGGTGGGAAGATGGGTACCAGACCAGTTCAAGGGATCCCCCCACTGTCTTTCACGTAACAGACAGCAAAGACGCCTTGGGCTGCTGTGCCTGGGTGAGGTCAAGGGGCAGCTTGCAGCTCTCACCTTCTGCCATGTGGGTTCCAGGGACTCCCTCAGCCATCTTGAGCCCTTACAGCTTTGTAATGATCTTAAATGTGATGCTGAAGGAACGGGAACCTTAAGGCTGAGTGACAGATGATACCACTGGTTTGTATTGGTCCCATAAGTCATCAGTGATAACCTATATTATGTCAGACAGCCATGGAGCTCATGGAAAGTGATGGGTTTGAGCAAGCTCCCGCCCTTAGAGGGGGCGTCAGGCTCACTGCGGGGGGGGTTGCTTTGCTGTGTTGTGGTTGGAAGCCCAGAGCCTGAGCATTGTCTTCACGTGCCACAGAACTGTTTTGTCCTCCTTATGTCGTTCAGATTATGTAAGACTTAAGCATTTAAATCGGATTGCGGGCACATAGTTGCTTTTGTCTTTAAGGTAGTGTCCACCCTGTTTTTCCTGAAAGCCGGAGAAGAGCGACGCTTTGGTTCTCCACTGGGCCAGCGGGCGCTGCACTGATTCTCTGGGTCACTCACTGGTCACTGTAGTTTCTGTCTGATATGCTAGTCTGACAGCCTTCTGCTCTTTATAGCTAATACACCGAGAGTTAAGAGTAGAGATGTGCCTCATGTACTGTGTTGGAAACCAGCTATGATAAAAGTACAAGCTGGGTCAAAGCTAGTTTACCTCAGTCCTGTCGTTATGCAGTGGATTTGGACATTTCTGACTTGTCTCTTCCCTGTGCCCTTCACCCTTCACCCTTCATCAACTGGCAAGCTTAGGGATTGTTGTTTGTCCATTTTTTTTTGCTTCCTTTTTTTTTTTTTTTTTTTGAGAAGAGTTTCTCTTTGATACAACCTTGACTATCCTGGAACTCACTCTGTAGGCCAAGCTGGCCTTGAACCCAGAGATCTACCTGCCTCCGCCTCCCTGGTGCTGAGATTAAAGCATGGGCCATAATGCCCATCCTCCTCTTCCTCCTCCTCTTCCTCCTCCTCCTCCTCTTCCTCCTCTTCTTCCTCTTCTTCCTCCTCTTCTCCTCCTCCTCCTCTTCTTCCTCCTCTTCTCCTCTTCCTCCTCCTCCTTCCACCTCTTCCTCTTTTTCTTCTCCTCCTCCTCCTCCTTCTCCTTTTTCTTTTAGTTTTTCTAGACAGGGTTTCTCTATGGCTTTGGAGGCTGTCCTGGAATGAGCTTTTGTAGACCAGGCTGGTCTCGAACTCACAGAGATCCGCCTGCCTCTGCCTCCCAAGTGCTGGGATCAAAGGTGTGCGCCACCACTGCCCGGCTTTCTTTTTTTTTTTTTTTTTTAAGTCAACTTTGTATCTGCTACCTTGACATGAAGCCCTACAGGTAATCCCCTGGCCTCCTGTGCAGACAGGGACTCACTATTTAGACTTAGCTGGCCCAGAACTTACTATGTACACCAGATTGACCTGAACCCACAGATTGACCTGATTCTGCCTCCCAGCTGCTAGAATTAAAGGCATTTACCACCATGCCCAGCCCCTGTAGGTCATCTTACCATTTTATTGAAAGGAAATTTGAACAGAATTGCTAATTTAGAATGCTAGTACCTTATTTTCCAGAATCTGAAGGAAGTTGTAGGTCAGAGAGTGTGGCTGCTGGGTGTGGTCATCCACTGAGCGTATTCCAAATGCATCTCACTCTTGCAGACGTCCTGAACCATCGCTAAAGAAAGGGGGAGGGAAGCATCTTGGGGTTAAAAAGCCTAAGGACAGAAGATTCCTAAGCTCGGGAGGAGCTAGGCAGTGAACTAGCACAGCTAGATTACAGGAAAGAGAGAAACGCAGGCAAGCAGCTGTTGGACCTGTGGCCAAGCCCCCAGTCATGTCGTGTCCCCCCAGTCTCCTTCCTGTGTCCCACACGGAACACCCCAGAGCCGAAGGCGTTCAGCCTCTCAACAGTTCACAGAGCCGCACGGGAGAGTCGATCGTGTGAGGGCTTTTCCCCTGTGGAGACGCTGCCGGGAGTTGATGTTTCAAAGGAAGAAGCATCAACTTTGGGGGCTCACCTGTCAGCCCCTCGGTCTTGGGGTGTGTCTATTGCTGAGCTTACTGGTTTTGGTCTGGTCCTCAGGAGCTGAGCTCCCTCTACAGTTATCTTAAAGTTGCGTTTGCATTTGTACTTTTTTGTCTCTATGTGGCGTTAGGCTTGGAACTACAGTTCACTAAGGAGATGCTCTAGGGGACAGACTCTAGGTAACTAACCTTTCAGTTATCAAGCAGTATGGCTGCCAGAGGTGAGCATTCTTACACCGAGATTCATTTTCATAGTCACGGAAATCCGCCTTCGTGTTTGTTAGGTATTAAGGGTTGAATTTTAATCGGAATTATAGAAGGCCTCATGCCTCCAGTGCAGTATTTTCGAAAGTTTACTCCGTAATGCGCATTAATCAGGATGTGAGTAAGTATAATAGGAGAATAGGATTTTGTGGTCAAGTGAGCTTGGGGAATGCTTGATAAAAGACTTTCCTTAAATTCTCCCAAGCCTCTCATGTGCTTTTATGCAGTGCGATTCCAGAGGAAAGGGTATTCAGAAATTCCCTAAACGGAGCTAGCTAGAAAACAGCTCAGGGGAGGGCTGACAAGCCTGCTAGCCGCAGAGTCTACTGTGTTAAATGCTGCTGCATCACAGCCTCCTACTTTGCATAAGATTTAAAATCTGTAGGAGTGTTTTGCTGAATTTATGTATATGAGCCACATGCATCAGCGTGCAGTGACCATGGAGGTCAGGAGAGGGTGTTGGGTCCTCTAGAACTGGAGTTTCGGATGCTTGTGAACTCCCCCTACCATGTGGGTGCTGGGAACTGAGCCCAGATCCTCTGGAAGATCGCTCCCCACCCCCAGGCGCCTCTCACTTTCTTACAAGAAGGGCTGGATCCGGTAGTTTGTCTAGAGGTTCTGTGTTGTCTAGGGAACCGAGAGGTGGGCAGAGGAACCCGCGATTCCTACAGGGGTGGCTCTTAGTGATTGTTCTGTGAAGTGAGAGAAGAGGGCCAGGCTTTGGGGGGGATACACATTGTTCCGCCAGTGAAGAGAGAGGAAAGTTCCCTGGCTGCCCTGGAGCTGCCTGTGTAGACCAGGCTGACCTCGAACTCAAGACGAGCTATCACCACCTGGCTCCGGGGGGACGATTTTTAAGGACGTCCAGGTTATGTGGCTGTCAGAGATTTTGCTGGGAACAAGTGACCCCTCTGTGGATTGATGATGAGAGAATGAGAAGAAGGAAAAATGGCAGGGAAGGAAGGTGGGCGAGTTGGAGAGCGCGTAGCTCTTGTGGAGGAGAGGAAGACTGAGGGTGGGAATGTGGAGTGTGACCTCAGGCTCATGTGTTTGGATACTTGGGCCTCGCTGGCTAGTGCGAGCTGGGTAGTGAATGTGGACCATAGGGAGGAGGTCGGGGTATAACCAGCAGCCTCTTGCTCCCTCTGCAGGGCTGGGGCCACGCCCTCTGCGGGGTTGGGGCCACGCCCTCTGCGGGTCTGGGGCCACGCCCACTCCCCTGCCTGTCCTTCCCCACCATGATGACTGCATCCCCTGAACTAAAGACTGGGATGCATCATTTTTCCCTTCACTTCCCGTCAGGCGTTTGGTCATCGTGACAAGAAAGGATCTAACATGGGGATTATCAAACAGGCAGGCAGGACAGCGGAAGCAGACAGACCTTTGAACAACCAGGGTTACCACAAACTCCAGTTAAGCACTGGGTACCTGTGTGATTTCTGAAACCCTTAGCCTCAGTAGCAGTGGGGTAACCCTTCCAATAACAGGGCCTACTTAAAAAGTTTGTTGCTTTGACATTGGACGCAGTCTGGCATGTCTAACTTTGGACATTGTAGCATAAAATTCACATTTGATGCCTGCATGGGAAAGTTGCAAGGAAAACAACGTCCACAGGAGAATCCCTTGCTTTAAGAAGTTTCCAAGTGTAGAGTTGGGTTGCATTCAGCTGTAATGGGCTGGGCACACCTGGATCTACACAGAGCACAGACAGCCACTTAATCTCTTTCATCGTTTCTCTGTAGCTGACAAGAACTAAGCTTGAGATTCAGGATTCCACACTGTCTGGCAGTGATTGTGAGTGGGCAGCAGCGCAGAGACAGACAAAGAGATTGACCTGGGAGTCACCCAGGAAGAGTTCAGGGTCACTCGAAATCAATGCACACTGACGTGGGGAGCTAAAAACAGTTGTTTATTGATCTCATAATTAAATTGTCCAGTTAGTGATCATAGCATACTCCAGCTAGTAAGACACAAAAGCCTATTGATCTGTCCCCGGGACAGCCACAGAGTCATTTTACCGGTGAGCTCGCGTGAGAGAAGCGTTGGAAACACACCTAGTAGGGAGTTTGCAGCAGGGACAGTCTTAGTCTGCTCTGCTCAGGTACCCTTTGACCTTGAGCCTCAGTGTCTGTGAGTATGGGGATAGCAGCGTAGGTCACAGTTCTGGGAAGGGCGAGAGGTGACATACCCTCAAAGCACCTGAAACACTATGTCACACTGTCGTCAGGTTGGGCAGGAAGTTCCATGGGGAAGAGTCATCATCTCTCTTGGCCATCCCGACAGCAGCCCGTGGGGAATTTCAGCTCACACGTGGAGACTGGAGTGGGCGATGGGAAACCGTTCTTTCCCCTCTCTGTGGGAGGGTTTCTCCAGAAATTGGAGTGCAGAGCTAGCTGGGGTAGAACCTAGTGCTCTTGCCAGTGTTATGCGCGGGAAGGATTCAGTGGAAACCAGGGCCGCTGAGCAGCGTGGCATCTGGCCAGGTGAAGCAGAGGTTCCCCGTGATGACTGCACTTATGTTTGTTCATAACTGTCAGGGCCAGCTAGTGCCCCCAGATAATTGAGTAAACAAGATTTCTAGCTCAAGAATAATGTGTGGCATTTTCTTGGGTATTTTATATAAGTATCGGAAATATGAAACCCTAAATATGTTTCTCTGTATATAATAGATTGTTGAATTATCCTCTTTATTGATCTGTGTGTCACATCTTTAAATCTTATTTGCTTCGTTCATCATACCCATTGAAAAGCTGCCATTATCTTTCGTAGTGGTATTGTATTGGCCAGAACAGTATATAGGATTAATTATGTACTTACTTATTATCTATGTAAAGAGTACTTACATGCCATATGTCAGTTGTATTTCAGATAGAATACCCACCAGTTATTAACAAGCAAGAGAATAATAGGAAGAGTATAGGATGTTACGTTCCCAGGCCTCATGAGTTTGCAGTTACTGTGGTACAGCAAAGCTTGCTCAGCAAACTCATTGCAAGTCCAGAGAGGGCTTCTCTCTGCTGCTCATAGAACATCCAGCTTCTGGCAAAGGTGGTACTTCTCTTCTTTTGTTTCATGACCAGCCTGGTAATTTAAAACACTAGATATGTTTGCATTTCACTTCTAGTGGTTTTAAAAATCATTTCTTCCTTTTTTTCCTCTTAAAATAATCACTTAATTATGCTTGACAAGAAAGGTCTAGATAGAAAGGTCTGAGCAGTGCTCTTGCAGTTGGAAATAGTAACCAGAAATGGTGGATGTGGCTGCACACACAAATGATTCCCGGACGTCTGGACACCCTTGCCTTCTACCTTGCCCTCAGCCGGCCCTGGTAGGTTCCCGCATGTTCTCCAGCCTGCCTTCCAGTCATCTCCGTCACTTGTGGCTCTTGGAATGCTGTGGATACCGAGAAGAAGCTCTTCCGACCTTATGGGTCACCTCCGTCACCCTGAGGTGATGTAGCCCTTGATGGGAAGCAGAAGCCTAAAGAGTCCCATAAACTACTGAATGGGAGCTCAGAGTGGACTGAACCCTAAGTGTCCCCAGAAGATCCTCTTCTCACAAAATCAGAAAACGAATTTGATGAGTGAGGTGGAATGCCCAAGCCCTCATCTGTTTGTCTCCTCCTTGGCAGAAACTCTGGATACACACTTGGGACACCTATAAATCGTATGATAGGACATAACATGGCATGCTGAAATAATGCAGTAGAACACGATGAAATCAGAATGTGTCATGCTGCATGTTCTTTAACAACAGCGCACTTACTCCATCAGAACATGACAATGAAGTGCTTTTCTGTCCAGCAGACTGTCATACATGACGCTGTTGCAGTAGTAAGTCTTTGTCCTGATGTCAATGTGATCGCAGTGTCCCCTCCTGCACACGCCTGCTGAATAGCTGTGTGACCTTCAGCCGGCTTCTTAGACTGCAAACTCAGCTTAGCAGTGCCTGCCCTCGCCTATCTGATAGTAGTATCTTGATGTCTGAGATGAGACAGCCTGTGAAAGTCCTTGGAGGTGAAAGTGTGTCTGACTGCCCTGGCCTGTTAACTCTCACCACACCCCCACGTTCTTCTATTTCTCCTCTTTGATCCTAGAGCCGCGTGCTCACTGGGCAAGCACTTACTGAGCTGTAGCCCTTAGCTTCCTCCTCTTGCTGAAAAAGTGCCTACCCAGCGATTTCAGGCAGGGTCCTTCCTCTTCTGAGTCGCCTAAGCCTGAGTGAATGGCTGCAGAGGGTTTTCTGACTCCTGCTTCCTGGCTCACAGCGTAGGCTGAAAGGAAGACGTGTGAGACCCACGCTCACTTCTGCCTTCGGCACTGTGGTCTCTTGGTAAAGGCTTCTTTCTGTGCACCTGCGTCCCGTGAGAAGTTTGCGGGGAAGCTCTGGCAGTCAACAAGTGACTCTACAGACCAGCTTGCTCAGCCACTGAGTCACTGTGATGTGAGACTCTTGAAGTGAGCATCGATGCATGACAGGGAGAAGTAGTGGTTTAGTGAAAACAGTCTCTGCTCTGAGCAGATGCTTTAGTGGCTAGCTCATTGTGAAACAGTAAGAACCAGAGTTAGTGGAAATCCATAAAGCCGTGTATGACTAGTCTATAAACAAGGTCTGAATAGTCAGTCAGTTACCTTTCTGCCCCTTGCCCCGTTTTGCTGACTAGCTGCTATCTGGCTGATAAGGGAGACTGGCCTGGGAAATAAAAACCTGTTTCATACCCTGGCTCCGCCAGGCTGTGACTTTGGGCCCATCTTGCAACTTCTGTACTTTGGTCTTCTCATTGCTAAGATGGGACAGCAGTAGTATTTGTCCTGTGAACCTCAGTGAGCAATTGTGCATAAAGCAAAATGTAGACAGATGTGTTTTGAACCACCCCATCCCCCCACCCTCACCCCTGCCCAAAAGAAGTGAAAGGTGATTGTGCTGTAGCTGTTGGAGACTAACGGTCCATCCGTGTGACAGTGCGTATGTAAGTAGTCAGCACACTGCTGAAGACTAAAAGGTACTCTCCAGTCCTTCTCCAGAGAAGACGAAGGAAATTCTGAGCTTTTGGAGCTTGGAGGAGGAGACACATCCTCTATTTGAATGTTTTAAATGAATCATGGAACACTAGATCTCACAGAAATCAGTTCAGTAGCTGAGTTTCCAGACTAGTCACTTAAATGGTTAAGCATAAGTAGTTTATTTCGGTCCAGTTTCTCTTACGCAGTGAAACCGCCCACTGGTTGCACGGATATTTGTCTGTGAGAGGGGATTTGCAGGACTTAGCTGAGATCCAGGTGAGAGATTCTGAAGCCCCTTCTCTCTGGGTTTCCCTGCTTCCTTCCCGTGTGCCTGAGGCTTGCTTAAGGCAGGCCTGTAAATACCAGCTGGAACTTCAGTCCCCTGCCCCAGAGTCAGGGTTGACACTTCCTCCGTAACGAGCCTGGTCACCTCATGCAGTTAGAAGAGGTGGCTCCTTTGGCTCTGCACCTCAGCAAGGCTAAAGAAAGGACTTACCCAGGTCACCTTGCTGCTCTCAAGGAACCAATCGCAGTCAAGCTTCACAACTGTTCTCCTGCACACAACTCAAGGCTTTTCCTCACGGTGTTGCTACGCTCTCTTAGGATATAGCTGCGAGCTGAAAGAGGTTTGAGACGTTTAATCTAAGCAAAACCTGTCCCTCCACACTCATCTGTGTAAAGCGAGGATCCCATTAGCCTTATCTGTTTGAGAAAAGAATATTGTTATATATGTGTAACTTTTATACGAAAATAAAATAAAATTGACTCTTGTAAAACCACGTATGCTGTATTTCGAAGGGGGCAGTGTTGTGGATACAAAGGGATTTTAGGGATTTAAAGTGAAGTAGAAACGAGACCGGACTTTCTCTACCCAGTGGGATGGTTTACGCTTGGGTTTATCAGTCCTTTCCATAGTCACAGGAAGCCTGGCCGACGACCGCCATGCGTGCCACACAGAATTGGATTCCGCTAACTGAGGCTGACTTTGCTTTTCCCTTTTGGAACTGGGGATTGAACCCAGGGCCTCACACATGCCATCCGGGGGCTGTGTCATGGAGCGGTATCCCCCTTCTGGAGACGTCACTTCCTCCTTGTCAGGGTAGCTGAAGGCCTGTTCCTGAGTGGTCAGAAGCAATAGGGATGGGATGTGTTACTGAAGGAGGAGATGATGTGGTCTGTGTGTCAGCTTGTGTGGGCTGAGGGAGTGACTGACCGATGACTGGAGGAAAGGTCACTGAGTAGAAGTCTGCAGAGCAAGCCTGTCGCTGCTCTGAGGGATGCCACCTCACAAACCTGTCCTCTCTCCTTCTCTGTCAGGAAGATAAGTAAATGAAGGTCACGGACTTTAATGTTTTGTGCCTACATGGTAATAGCTTCTTTGAATCCCCGAACCTAAGGGTTTTGTGAAATGAAATCTAAAATCCAGAATAAAGGGCTAGTTAGGGAACTTTTATGGGATCAGGTGGCAATTTTCATTGGCTGCTGCCTTGAACACTTCTGGTATAGAGTACAGATCAGGCAAATAGGCTATAACTAGAGAACCTGGATGATGAACGAGGAGGAGGTGGCGTGGACCACGATATGGTAAACGATTTGAGAACTTGCTGTGTAGACCAGGCTAGCCATGAACTCAGAGACCTGCTCGCTTCTGCCTCTGAGTGCTGGGACTAAGCTGTGTGCCACCACTAGTCTGGGAATGTAGTGGTGTAACACGGTGGTCTTACAGCATTAGGATGTGCAGGCTGAACACTCTCAACTGTTTGAGAATTCAGAATGTTTTGGATTTGAAATACTTGCATACATAGTGAGGCATTTCAGGAATGGGATCCACGTCTGGACACAAAATTCATTTGTGTTCATATAGACTTTACGCACAGGTTGAAGATATTGTGCATTGATTTAATAAATGCGTTTTGACTGTGGCCCATGTGTAAAGTAGGTTGTGCAGCTCCCTACTGTGGCATTCATAGTGGTGTTCAAAAGATCCGAATCTGGGAGCATTGGAAAATGAATTTTTGGAAAAGGATGCTCAGCCTGTAGTATTGTATTTTCTGTTTTGGTTGACACTGTAGTTTCAGCTTATCAGTAATCGGTGTTTACTTCAGAGGTGTCATTTAATTTCTGTGAGTAATGAGAACCAAAGTGCACGCATTATTCTGAGAGGCACCGCTTAGGCAGTGAAGCATCTAACTTAGGGCTCTGCTTATTGTTTATTTTCCCCATGGTATAGCTGTTACTGTATCCATGGTGGCAGAGGCTTAGCAAAAGGAATTTGAAAGATCAGCTATCGGAAGCAATTTGGCAAGGAAACTGTTCGTTACAAAGAAGGCAGCACGGGAGATCTGCTGTGGAGGAGTGACTGGCCGTGTGAGGGACAAGGAGCCGTGGAGCATGGTGGGAGCCCTGGTCACGTGGCCCAGCGTGCAGTGGGAGGCATGGAAGCCGAGTGCAGAGGGCAGCCTTTCCTTCTTACACTGTCCTCACCCCCGATGGTGAGTGTGAGGCCAGACTAAAATCAGACTTAAGGATCCCAAACTGTCACTGTAGATGGCAATTGACGGATTCAAGAACAAATGCTGAATCCCGTCTCTTTACTTATTCTCCCTCTAAGTAGGGTCACCAGTTAGCAACACTAGGGAGAAGAAAACCACATTTCCTTCCCCTTAGGTTCTAATGGCTGAGACCCAAGGAGGCTGAGGAAGCCGATCTCATGAGTGCTCCCCAGGTGGCCGCTCCTCAGAAAGCGTGGCTCTCTTGACACTCAGCATGGGCCTTCTCCTCCTTCTCTGCCGCCTCAGCAACACACAGAGCAGTGTGTCATCCCTAGTCCTGTCTGACCGCGTACACCTCCACAGGACAGTGCACACTGTGACGGCATCTCACCCATGTCACACTGCGACGTCATCTCTACCCATGTCACGCTGTGACCTCATCTCTACCCCACGTCACACTGTGACGTCATCTCTACCCCGTGTCACACTGTGACGTCATCTCTCTAACCCACGTCACGCTGTGACGTCATCTCTACCCATGTCACACTGTGACGTCATCTCTACCCATGTCACACTGTGACGTCATCTCTTACCCATGTCACACTGTGACATCATCTCTCGCCGCACGTCACACTGTGACACGTCTGACTCCATGCCTTCCGTGTTCACTCTGTCATATTTTACCCTGTGACCTCCATACTTTCCGTTTGCACTCAGCCGTTTTTCACCTCATGGCCGTCCATGCACACCATCACCTCATCACCTCACGGCCGTCCACGCACACTATCACCTCATTCACCTCACGGCCGTCCATGCACACTATCACATCATCACCTCACGGCCGTCCATGCACACTATCACCTCATTCACCTCACGGCCGTCCATGCACACTATCACATCATCACCTCACGGCCGTCCATGCACACTATCACCTCATTCACCTCACGGCCGTCCATGCACACTATCACATCATCACCTCACGCCCCTTCGTGCACACTCTGACACAGACTGGAGCAAAATAAACTTGTGTGTTTGTGTAGTTTTTTTGTTGATTTCTTTTTTTGAGACAGTTGCTCTGTAGGTTTGGAATCTTTCCTGCATCTGGGTTTGCACACCAGGCTGGCCTCAAACTCACAGAGATCCGCCTGTGTCTTCCTCCCAAGTGCTGGGATTAAAGGCGTGCGCCATCACCATCTGGGTTTGTTTAGCTTTTGAATTGGGCTTTTGTTACATAGCCAGACTACGTAGCCTCCTACCTAGTCCACCAAGTGCTGGGACCACAGGTGTGTGCCTAAGAACACAGCCTCTTTCTTCGTGCTCTCGGGACTTTACTATTCGAGCTAATACGAGGTGACTCTTCACCAGCAGGCCAGCTCAGTGTCCCAGCAGCCCCTGAGTTATGGAGACAAGAAAAGCTATCTAAATATGTGCAAGCTTGAGGTACTCCTGAGTTAAGACTCCCATTGCTCTGAACACTAAATTTGATGTAATATAGTTATAGTCTATGTGTATTGAGAGTATAATGGAAAAGAGTAGGGAACAGTGCTCTAGAAGAAATTATTCTAAAGGGATGGAAAAGACCAGATGAGGAAAACAAAACAAACAAACAGTGGGATTGTTTTATTTCCTCTTCAGAAATTACACTAGTTATTTTTCTCTTATTGTGTCTATACATGCCTGTGTGGTGGTTTGAAAGACAATGGCCCCCGAAGGGAGTGGCACTCTTGGAGGTGTGGTCTTCCTGGAGGAAGTGTGTCCCCGTGGGGGCGGGCTTTGAGGTCTCTTCCTCCAGCTTCCCTCAGTGTGACAGGCAGTGGCTTCTGTTGCCTGCCGGATGGAGAGCTCTCAGCTCCCACACCACATGCCCCATGCTCCCCTTCATGATCACAATGGACGGAACCCCGAAACTGTAACCTCCACCCCAGTTAAATGTTGTCTTTGTAAGAGCTGTCGTGGCCGCGTGTCTCTTCACAGCCATAGAAATGCAGCCTGGCAGGGAGCAACCTAAGGGGGGACGGCTTCATTTGGGCTCACAGCTTCAGAAGGGACACGAGCTGCCTCGGCAGCCGGAGGATGAGGCAGGAGGCTGGACACGTGTGTCTGCAGTCGGGGCAGGCAGACAGGCAGGCAGTAAGGCAGGCTGTTAGCCTCAAGGCCTGCTGCCCTCAGCGACCCACCGACTGCCTGGGAACTAAGCCTGCCCATGAGCCCACGGAGAGCACTGGACAGTCACAGTCACACCACAGCAGGAATGCACTCTCACTTTATCTGAGGAAGTACGAGCTTTTCCGCAGTAGACGGAAGCACGGGGGACGTGTCTGACACACCTCCATATCATTACGTCATTGGGGAGCAGAGAGCGGGAAAGGACAGGGGACCTCAGTCCTCGTATGCGTGTGTGTGCTGAGTGCTGCCCAGGCACGACCTGCCGAAACTAAGCTGAAAGGCAGTGTGCTTGTTCAAAGGTCCGCTTAGTCATCTAGTTAGAATATTCCATTTGATAAGCAGTACCCGGCTTATCATTGTAAGACTTGGAAGTATTTTTGAAATCACTGATGAGTCTAACTTATATATAACATGTTTGCCTATGACTACCTTGTGGGTTTAAAGCTGCCTCTTAAGAATGCCACCGTTATCTCTCTACATCAGGCGTTCACGATGACAGTGAGAGCGTTGGCAGAAGTGCAGCTCTCTGTAAATGCTGGAGCATCCTAAGTAAATCCCCTTGAACGGGCTCTCAGGAATGTCTGCAGTTCAGACTGCACCGAGGGCAGTGATTCTCAGCCTGTGGGTTCAGCACCTCTTTCACGGATTGCCTAGGACCATCAGAAAACAGATATTTGTGTAACATTCATAACGGTAGCAAAATTAGTTATGAAGTAGCACCAAAAAAATACATGTATGGCTGGGGGTCAACCCAGCGTGAGGAACTGTATTAAAGGGCAGAGCATTAGGAAGGTTGAGAACCGCTGCTCCAGAGGCTGGGAGGAAGGAGAGGAACGGGGAAAGGGCTCCCAGCTCCTCCTCCTCCAACTTCCCACCATATTCTGTGGACGTTTGTCAGTCCGTGGGAGATGCTCCAACAAGGGCAATAAGCTTCTCGTGCACAGCAGCTGCGTGCAGTGTGGGAGGCTGGGGGGACTAAGCCCTAGACAGCAGCAGTTCCAGGTCGGGTGAGAGCCCCTGTGCCCGGGCTCTGTCGACAGATGGGGAGACAGGTAGGCTCCTGAGGGCTCCTTTGGGAAGGGCCCAGATCCGATCGTGTTCCAGTGCTCTGCCCGCGG